GTTATTGCCAAGTCCAAAAGATTCTGGTCGAGCATCGTGTCCCTCAGTCTGGTAAGACTCCTCGAGACATCTTCATAGGACGGTTTGTCCCAAGAATGCTTTTTAGTACCCAAGTAGAAAATGTTTCTCTGACCCTTCTTCAACTGTACTACTCCTCTGACTTCAGGATTCTGTTCTCGTAATGTTTGGAGCTGACCTAATTTCTTGTTGAATACCACAGCGATACCCATGGACATTTGGAGATCCTCTGCCACGCAGTGTGATAGTGCGTAATCAACTAGAACTTTGAAAAGGTCTAAGCGACGTCACATTATCGCTTAGGATTGAACAGGCAAACTAGGTCACCGATTTCGATTACTCCAGCATTCGCCTTGATGTCATAGGCCTTCTTCATTCTATCGCTGGCACTCCGGATGTTCAGACGGACTCGTCCATGGATGTTGTCCATTCTCTGCCGAAGCTTGATGGCATAGTCTTTCCCCACAGTATCTTATTCTGGCGGCCTCCCAAATTTCAGATCGCAATAAAGTCGCAGTTCTCGGCCCATTATTATACTGGCAGGGGTTTGACCGATTGACTTGTGCACTGCTGAATGATAGGCCAACAGGAACAGGTGGAGGTACTGGTCCCAGTCTCTTTGGTAGTCAGAGACTACTTTGGAAAAGTGGGGGTTTATGGTCACCATTCCATCGGACTATGGATGTCAGGCTATGCTTCTGGTCTTTCGCATGTCCAATAGTTTACACATTTCTTTAAACAGATTGGACTCGAAATTTCTGCCCTGGTCCGAATGCAGCTCCAGTGGGTCTCCGAATCGACGTATCCATACATATCCGTCCATATCCAGGACGGTAAAGGCTTCCTGGTTGGGCAGGGCATAGGCTTCTGCCTACTTACTGAAATAGTCTATGGCCACCAGGATGTATTCGTTCCCACGTTATACTGTCGCATTGGAGCTTTCGGTCGTATCCGAGGTCCGTTGCTGGCAGCACATACATACATACAGCACACTTTTTGCATCAGTCCTTGACGTCGGCTTGAAAATTAACCCAGTGAAACCGTTGTCTTACTTTCTGGAGGGTCTTCGTTACTCCCAGATGTCCTCCGGTGACTCCATCATGGATTTCTTTGAGCACCTCCCGTCGTCTTTTTCTGGGTACTACTGTCTGGCGGCTTTCTTCTTTACCGTCTCCAGACTCCAACACCCGTTTCAAAACCCGTTTTCCAAAGTATGGGAGTACCATCGGGCCTAGTAGGACGATGTTGGCAAACCCCAGCACATATCTGCGGTAGTAGGTGCATAAACCAAGGAAGCTCCGAAGCTAATGTATGTCTTTTGAAATAGGCCAATCCTTAACTGCTTAGAACTTTTGTTCGTCTACCACCACTCCTTCCCCAGAGACAACGTGAACAAGGTAACGGACTTCTTTCTGGAACAGGCGGCTTTTCTTGGGACTAAGTTTCAATCCAGAACTCCTCAGACGCATGAATATCTCCTTCAGATTTTTCAAGTGATCGTCGAACAATTTTCCGACCACGATTATGTCGCCGAGATACACTAGACATTTCTTCCATGAGAGCCCCTTGAGGACCGTCTCCATCAATCTCTCGAAGGTCGCTGGAGCATTACAAAGCCCGAATGGCATAACCGTTAACTGCCACAATCCTGAGCCGATGGTGAAAGCTTTCTTTTCTCGATCTTTTGGGGCCAATTCAACTTGCCAATATCCACTCTTCAAATCCAAAGTCGAGAAAATCGTGGAGCCAACTAGCGTGTCTAGGGTGTCGTCGATCCTTGGAAGAGGGTAGCTGTCTTTTTTCGTCACGTTATTTAGTTGGCGATAATCCACGCAGAACCTTATCGAGCCGCCCTTTTTCTTCACTTATACAACTGAGGAAGACCAGGGGCCGTCAGAAGGTTCAATGATTCCTTCTTCTTCTTATCGCTGACTATCTTGTCTGTCTCTTCTTTCTTGGCAAGAGGGAGTCTTCTAGCTGATTGCCGGATTGCTCGGGTATTGCCAGTGTCTCTAGGATGGTTTCAGCCCTCTCAGCTACACACACGTCTTCTTCCATGCAACATCAGCTCTTCTCCGCCGATACGTAGGACGCCGTCTTGAAAATTCAGCTCGAACCCTCTGGATTTCATTATATCCATTCCAATAATCGCATCGTCCTCGATGTCCAATATCAATGCATGATGGTCCAATTTAGTGCTGCCCAACACCAAATCAATTGGTAGTTTTCCAAGTACAGTTGTTGGCTCCCCTGTTGCGGTGCGTAGCTTCCAACTTGCTTGAAGGTTCAATTCTTCCGGTGTTTTGGCAAAGGTATGTTCAAGAATGGGCACCTGTATCTAGTATCACGGTGCAAGGCTCGTTGTTAATGAAGCCGTTTACGAAAACACCTTTGTCTTGTCGTTGGAGAATGGCAACATATGCGTTTTTTACGGGGGCTTCTGGCTACAGGCCGACGATTTCCCCTTCTCATCGACACCCTTTAGTTTTCCTGATTTGATTTTGGTTCTTTGAATGATGGACATTTGCTACGCACATGCCCAATTTTCCTACAGTTCCAGCATCTCATTTGTTTCCAGCATCTCATTTGTTTTTTCTCAGGCAATTATTCCGTACATTGGTGAAAACCGTTGCAAAATCCGTTAGAAAGTTTTTGAGTTTATCACCGCAGTCGAACAGAATGGAGAAACTGAAAAACAAAATGACATTAGGTCTAGATAATATTCCATAATTTTCACTAGAGTGTGCAGGAGCATTAGCAAAACCCTTATTAAAAATATTTAACTCGGGTCTGATGTCTAGAAAATTTTCGGATATTTAGAAATTAACTCTCAACTACAGACATATATCAATTCTGTGTATGTTTTCAGAGGTATTCGAGATTATTTTATGAAATCGAATATATGTCTACTGTCACATCAGCATGCCTTTGTTACTGATAGCTGTGCTGTGACAAATTCAGTTTTTATCACGCAATTCATTTCCGAAGCACCAGATAATAATATTCAAGTTGATGTAATATGTACATACTTTCGAAGGCGTTTGATAAAATTGATCATGGTATTTTGCCCAATAAGTTAATGGATTTTTGTTTTTCAAATACCGCCAGTCAATTTATACAGTCCTATCTATCAGGTAGGAAGCAGCTATTTCTGGTGTTCTTCAGGCCTCCACCCTATGTCCTCTTTTGTTTTTACTGTTTATCAATGATTCATGTGAAAGTTTGAAATGTGAAAGGCTGAGTTTATCAGATTACTTGAATTATTCTTCGTAATATATGATATGAGTGATTGGGTAAATCTTCAGTGTCAGTTGAAATTCCTTGTTATTGTGTTGCAATAATGAACTGAAAAGTAGGGAAGTGTAAAACTACAAGTTATACCCGAAAAAATGCTAATCAAGATTCATACCTACAGAGTTTTATGGTTTCATTATCAGACAACGCAGAACTTTTGAAAGAATTAAAGCTTCCAGACTTTTGTAGTCCATTTTATAAGCTGAGTAATGAAAGATCACAGAAAAATTTATCTAGATTTAAATGTTTCAACTTTCCCTCATAAACCTGAAGGGGTGGAATCTGTGGAGTTCAAAGAGAAAATCTTGATTGTTTAACCGTGTTTCCTTCTCTTTTTGGACGATATTCGTCTGGCCAGGTCTTGAAAATTTCAGAACAAAGAATATCGTCTTGCTCTGATGGTCGAGAAGAACTACATTAGGCTTATTAGCTTATATGAGCCGAAGGGTGGAAAACTAATAGTTCCAATAAATCCGGCACTTCTCGTTCCCCAATATCCGAGCGTAGGGCAACATCGGTGTCTCGTGAATACCATAAAAGTGTCATAGGTGGTGACAAAGTACTCTTAGGGCCGCGTTATGTCGATGGATATAGACTGAGAAGGCATATGCTGAACATGCTGATGGCAAGTGAATTAGGATCTAAGGCATCTCGCGGCAGGTCCTGCACCTTGTGTCAGGAACCTCTATACCCATCACGCGACTGCGGTAGGCTGAGGTGTTGAAGACACTATCCTGGCAGCCCATGCTCAAACCCTGAGTTCCCAACTTCAGCACACCCGATCTGTCAAGCAAAAGTTGGGCGCTTTGGTAAGCTAAGGTCTTCAATGTTGATTAAGAAGACCCCATGCATTTGCTCATGCAGCAGAAGTGAAGAGAAGTGAAGTCCACGGCCTTCCTGCACCTCCTATGTAGGTGCATACTTTTTCTCGCCCGAGTACATTCACTATTCCAAACGAGTAGAGTGAGATTGAAACAGCAATCATATTCCTTGCAGCAACTTTAATCTTTCCCGACAGTTCCGATGTCCAGATCTGTCGGAGTTTGTGCTGATATTCGCCGCGGAGAAAGTTCTTCACTGCTGTTATCTCTTGGGAGTGGCTTTGTTCCACCTCGATGTCTCTCTGGCATCCAGATGGTGCAGGGTGCTTCTATATACGAGCTGCTTATTCTCTCCGTAGTCTCCACGTCGTTCTTTTTTTAGGAATAACCGTTGCACATTCATCTATCCAAATTCTATACTGATAGCATGCGTGTACTCTGCCACCACCCTCAAGTACTGATGGAGATTATTTTCTCTGAAGGCCTAAAGTTCAGATATTGCACATAGAACAAATGGAAGACCTTATGCCTCCAGTTTCCGGAGGTGCCACATTTATACTACCGAGTATTGCTGAGCGTAACAGATAATGGCAATTGTGAAATGCAGAAGAAAAGGGAACTGAGGGAATCGCCCTGAAATTCACCCCTTCTGAAAGTGACCCACACTTTTTGGACTCTAGCCTGACCAGATGTTATGGTGAAGCGAGTCCGTCAGAGTGGTATCAGTTGTTCAATGCATCTTACTTATTTGTCCGGTACCGCCAGGCATCTGATCAAATGCAAGATGAGCTCATGCGATATCAAATGCCTTACGGTAATCGATCCAGGCCATAGAGAGTTATTATTATTATTTTTATTGATTTTCAGACTGAACGACATGGAGTTCCTTGAAGGATTGTTATTTTGTCTCATGGTTAATGGAATAAGCAGTAATAAATACTACTACAAAAGAATTGGAAACGGATTCGATGTCATATTTGGCCCACACGCTATTGGAGACTATAAGGAGTTGAAACCTCCAAAATCGATTAAAGTTAATTATGATATGAGAGGAGGTGAGTTATTTGAAATTAGGGCAACATAAGTGTGTTAAGTTTTGAGTAAGTCGCTTCGAGGCAAGCAGTATATTTTCCCTTTCAAATTAGCGGAAATATTGACATATTTCTTTTACAACGGTGATAACTGTTCAGCTGAACTAACTTTTCGACAATAATTATACAAATAACAAAAATTACCATGACTCACTACTTCTCAAAACCGTAATACACTTCACTTTAGATTCGATTTTACATTATCTGACATTGAAACAGAATTTTTCTGTTCCAGAGCGACCAGGAGAATGTATCGACGGGCGGTTTCTTTGCAGAATCCCTTATCAACGATCGATGACGGAACACTTTGAGTGTATTTCCGATTATCAATGTCCAAGATTTCATAAATGCTGCCAACTTAAATGTTTCATTCATAAAGTCTGCCAACCAGCATTTGGTGCTGATCTTTCTACCACCATACGATCAACATCTTATAAAGAAACAAGTACTTCAACAGAAACCACGCAACCTCCTGAACCACCGCCACAAGTAAATCTTGACACTAGAACCTCTACACATCCGATAAAAACCACTGAAGTTACCTCTAACGAATCTCCCCCATCAGAACCATCCGAAAAAACAAAAACCTCCAAAATCACTACCAGAGAACCAGTGACAAATATATCTCAAAAAATAACGATTTCATCAACAACAACATCTGGAGAAACGAGAAAAGAATCATCTAAAGAGTCCACGAAAGCTACAGCTGGTATAACTAATAAAATAAATGAAATATCATCAACTGTGATGACTTCAAATACCGAGATAAATACATCTACTGAAGCTAGAGAACAAAAAACTATTACAATCACCACCAGATCACCAAACATTGAATATGAAAACATGGCAGAAATCAGAGCATCTTTAGAAATAAAAGATGAAACCACTACTGGAATGGTTATGAATAGAACTGAATCACCAACAACTATCGAAATAAATACATCGACTGAATCTTTGAAACCAACAATCGGTCAGGTTACTATGGAAGTACTTCCGATAAAAGAATTGTCTGCAACCGAAATAACAAGTACAAACATGAGAAAGATAGATCCGAAATCTACTGAAATCACCATAGTTTCACCACTAGTTGAAACTGAAACAGCATCAAACATCGAAATTAGTGTATACAAAACATCTACTGAACTCATGAAGTCAACATCAAGTTTTTCTGAATCATCTGAAACAACAATAACAGGACAACCAAATACTACCGAAGACACCATGGGTCGACCTGAACCGCAAACAAAATCATCGGCAGGAACAGGAATAAATATTACGTTGGAATCAATAAAGAAAATAACTACAGAAAGTGAAACGACAGATATAGGGTCAAATACTGAAATAACCTCTAATAAATTTTCCGAACCAGAATCAACAGCTCAGACTGAAACATCTTCAAAAATTGAACAACAAACATCTAATGAATATGCCATGGAATATTCTACAACAATTTCCTCAGAATATATTCAGTCTACTGGAGTTGATATTTTGGCAAAGAATGTCACCACCATTTCTGCAGAAATACAAATAAAAAAATCTGATAAAACTGAAATGATTGAAAATTCTAACATCCGCATAACGTATGCAAATGAAACAAGCAGTCAAAAAACAGTAACCTCAAAAGGAAATACGTCCACGAGAGAAACTGTTTACTCAACTAACTTTTCCCCTAGTACGGAAACATCAGCGACAATGAATATAAATGAACCTTCAGCAAAACTACAAGGGTTTTCTCAAAATAGGACAGCTCATGACATGATGGAATCGGGATTTGGTAGTGGTGACGGTAGTGGTAATGGTAGTGAAGATGATACAGAAGCAGGAGTTAGTGACAAATCTAATAAAACTCCCCAAAAAGAATCAGAAATAAATAAGAATGCAACTACCACGACAGAAACCTTCGAGGATGATGAAGACATGATGAAATCGGAATTTGGTAGTGGTGACGGTAGTGGTGATGGTAGTGAAGATGATACAGAAGCGGGAGGTAGTGACAAACCTGACAAAACTTCCCAAAAAGAGTCAGAACTACATAAAAACGCAACTACTATGACAGAAACTTCCGAGGTTGGTGAAGACATGATGGAATCGGGATTTGGTAGTGGAGACGGTAGTGGTAATGGTAGTGAAGATGATACAGAAGCAGTAGGTAGTGAAAAACCTGATAAAACTTCCCAAAAAGGGTCAGCACTATATAAGAATGCAACTTCTATACCAGAAACCTTCGAGGATGATGAAGACATGATGGAATCGGGATTTGGTAGTGGTGGCGGTAGTGGTAATGGTATTGAAGATGATACAAAAGCGGATGGTGGTGACAAACCTGATAAAACTTCCCAAAAAGAGTCAGAACTATATAAGAATGCAACTACCAAAGCAGACACCTCCAAGGTTGATCAAGACATAATGGAATCGGGAATTGGTAGTGGTGACGGTAGTGATAATGGTAATAAAATCAATACAGAAGCGGAAGATAATGACAATTCTAATAAAAATCCCCAAAAAGGGATGGAACTAGATGAGAATGCAACTATCATGGCAGAAATATCCAAGGATGATAACGACATGATGGAATCGGGATTTGTTAGTGGTAATGGTAGTAAAAATGATACAGAAGCGGTTAGTATTGACAGATCTGATGAAACTTTCCAGAAAGGGTTAGAACTAGATAAGAATGTAACTACCAACGCAGAATCCTCCGAGGATGATAAACCCATGATGGAATCGGAATTCGGTAGTGGTGATGGTAGTGGTAATGGTGATGATAATACAGAAGCGACACGTAGTCATAAACCTAATAAAACTCTCCAAACAAGTTCGGAACTACTCAAGAACACTACTGAAATTACTACCACTTCACCAGAAACTACAGAATCAACAACCAGTTTCACTGATGAAGGGTATGGAACAAAGACAGATCAGTTCAGCAAAATGGTCGTTGACGAAAAAAGAAAAATAAACATATCTTCCACTGCGCCGGGCGATCGATCCGATGAGATAATTGTCACAGGGTCTACCAATTTTACGACTTCAACAGGTAGTGACATACCTGATAAAACTCCCCAAGAAGAGTTGGAAGAAAATGCAATATCCACAGCGGATGCCTTCGAGGATGGTGAAGACGTGATTGGATCAGGATTTGGTGGTAGTGACAATAGTGGTAATAAGAGTGAAGATGATACAGAAGTGGGAGGTAGAGACAAACCTAATAAAACTCCTCAAAAAGGGTCGCAGCTTCATGAGAATGTAAGAAGTCGAGCCGATACATTCGAAGATGGCAGTGATGATGGTGGTGAAGATAATACAGAAGCGACAGAGAGTCACAAACCTAATAAAACTATTCAAATAATTCCGGAACAACTGTATAACACTACTGATATCAACAGCACGTCACCAAAAGTTGAAGTTGAAACATCAGCAAATACAAGAAATAGTTCACCGACAAAAATAGGTGATAAAACGGCGACTGGAATCAGTATGGATCAAACTCAATCACCCACAACTACTAATATAAATACATTCAAAGAATCCATAAAACAAATAGCGAACAATAACAAAACAACTGTGGAAATTACGGAAATACTTTCGGTAGAAGAATCGTCTGCAAACACCACCACCACTCGATCCGGTGATATACTTGTCACAGGGTCCACCAATTTTACGAAAGCAACAGGTAGTGACAAACCTCATTTTACTCTACAAAATGAGTTGGAATTATATAAGAATGCAACATCCACAGCGAACACCTTCAAAGATGATGAAGACATGATGGGATCAGGATTTGGTAGTGGTGACGGTAGTGGTAATGGTAGTGATGATGATACAGAAGCCGCTGGTAGTGATGAACCTGGTAGAACTCACCAAAAAGGGTGGGAACTACTGAATAATTCAACTACCAGGGAAGATGAAGTCATCATATGATGGTAGCGGTAATGGTATTGGAGACGGTTGTTTTTGAACCAACAGACATATTTTGAAACACCTGGGAAAATAGGTCGCATTCAATTGAAATTTCAGTTTCTGCTATTTGATTGAAACGACTGATTCGAAGTAAAAAAATCACTTTCAGCTCAAAATATAAACCAATTTACAACAGTAGATATGTACCAACGTTACAAACTATGTGGTTTAGTGCATTCCTTCGAAGTCGATTATTCATTTAAATAGCTTTATTGTAGCCTTGTATGAATCTTCTCAGCATATAGCGTATTCTTTTATCCTCTGGAAAATAATATAATTTCCAATATGCGATAGAAAAAAATCTCTTGTCTTATATTTTTTAGATCTTGTCGCCAACAATCTCGAGACTTGTTCTTGAAACTGTTGACTCGGAATCAATATCAGAACGCAAGTAACCAAGAGGCACTATTTTGAATAGCATCAAGTTTTAACTGAGAAGATATTTTTTATATTGATTGGTTAGCATATCAAAAAAAGTAAAACAAAACATTTAAAAAATTAGGAATGTATACTTTATTCACGATTTTTTTAGAAAGAATGTGTTTTCAGAATGTTTTGAATAGAAATTATTTGTAACTTCGAAACAACCACAACATACCTGTGATGCACTGCTTGGAACCCTTGGTGTAGTAATGAATATTACTGGAGTGTAATACCAACACCAAACCGTTATTTTAACACCTCGACACTTGTTTCGATCACCAAGTGATCATCCTCTAGTGGAAGATTAAACTTCCACCCTTCCACCAAGTGATCATCTTCAAAGGGAAGATTAAACTTCCTCTTGAAGGTGATCACTTGCTGATCGAAATACGTGTTGTCGTGTTACAAATAATGGTTTAGTGTTGAAATAAAACTCCAGTAATATTAACCACAACATAATAAAAATTGATTGATGTAAATCCATCCGAAAAGGGTGTTTCATGTATATTATAAGTATAACTAGAATTTTTCGAAATAATTGGAGATGGATCATAACTGAATTGTTTTAATTCAGTTATGGTCCATCTTATTCAGTTGTGACAATTGTTTTTGGGGTAAAACATATGGAATTCGAAACAAACATATTGGAGCTGAGATTTTTCATAAAAACCCGTATATATTTTATTTTCACCTGAATGTCAAGAACTTCAAATAGGAACCTTTATATATTCAAACTCTTTGACAGATTATGAATTTTTCTTTCAACGAGCCATTTTCTATAAATAAAAAATACGGGACTATGAGGTCATCCATCAAAATATTGTCAAACAACTTGAGTTACGAGTAGTGAGAAACATCTTTCGAAGAAAATTCAAGGATTGAAAATTTTCACCTATTTCTAAGGTCATTTTTACTTCATTTATTTCGAAAATCTCAATAGATTCTAACCTCAACTTCAAAGGGTACCTCTTGTACCACAAAAAAAATGTTGAAGGTTCTATGCCATTCATTTTTCTGTACCATTGAAAAAGTGCATTTTTTATTTTCGACAATAAATACTTTATATAGAGTTAAAGTAGAAAGCTTTAAAACTTCCACTTTTTATTTGACACAGAAAAATGATTCGCATAGTATCTTAGAGCTCTAATTTAATTTTACCCATTCTTTTCGAGTTGAATTAAGTAAAACTTGGCATTGAAAATTTATTGTAAACTACATGAATTTTTGAAAACTCTCAATTCTCATTGGGAAAAAACAAACATCCTCTATTGTTTCTCACAACATTGAGTTGTTTGACAATACTTCCATAGATGATGTCATACTACCGTTGCATTGAACTTGGAGAAAATGGCTCATATGGTATCATTTCGAAAAGAAATGGTTACTCGTGTCAAATAGTTGAACACAGAATTGTATATTGTATCAAGTGGTCCCAAAAAATATACATAGTTTGATTTCGAATTCTTGTCTTGATTTCATTTTCAGAAATAGGTTTTCAGTTATTTTTTCATTATGAATATCATCTCCATGGAACAGTGTATTAATTCCGAATTTCAGAAATAACCCTCATCGTCCTGTGTACTATGTTTCATAAAATCAATCATTGTTGAGTATCAAATGAGAAATGGAATTTCTTAAATTTTTTTTTGTTTGGAAAATGTGAAAAACTTAAGTTAATCAAGTTCAAACTTATTGAAAATGCAATATGTTAATCAAATAATGGAACGTTATTTTTTATATTGTATATTATTCTCGAAAGGAAATAAATTCACACCATTTATTCAATCATTTATGTCATTTATATTTTCAATTATGAAAAAATAAACAAGATTTTCTTGGTTAAGTGAACGATTTTTGTTTCAAATGTAACCCATCTTAAAATATTGTATATTCCAAAGTTTCGACTACTCGAAATCCCATGACGACATGATTCATATTGTTGAATAAAGCATTAATTACACAGCACTCTGATTATAGAAAAAAAAACACAGTTTATCACTACAAAAATGCCATTTTTTTCTTATGTTTGTATTTAATGGTTGAATCAGTCATAATGAAAGTCGCGGAACATATACATTTCATGTTGCTTCTAGCAAAATCTAAGAAATTCATCTGATTACATTCGAATTCAAAGTTAAAGCATATCAAAAAAAAGAAAAGCAAAGAAAATCAAAAAATGTTTAATGGATTTGGAAAAAACTAGTTGATTACAGGTATTATGTATAAATAACCATTTTATTGAGTATCCAGTCAAGTTCTCAGTATAGGCAACAAACATTACGAACCAAACCCAGCGCATGCTTCAAAAATAAAAATGAGAATTCTGTTAGTTTTCTTGGCTATAAATTATGATAATTCAAACGGGATTTTAATTAGTAAATGCCTCTAACCATCATACAGAAAGATGCGTTTTGAACGGTGTTGGTTGGTTATTATCACATAAAAAATAATCTGAATTCTATGGTGAGCTAGGAAGAAAGTTTATAAGGTGTTTCATTATAAAAGTGAAGAAGAAACACCTTTTTCATTCAAAAAATTAAAAAATTATTTGGGACTTGTTCATTTTCTGAAATTTGATCTTCAACACTCGTTAAATACGGTTCTTGAACAACGGTGTTAATCAGAACACAATCCGGGTTGATAGGCCGTGGTCGAATATAACCGAAAGTACCAAACGTTTCGTCTGCTACTACAGCAAGTATCATCAGAGGTATGTGCTTTCCCAGCGTGGTAGAAAGTTATATTTCGGAATCTCAAAAACGATGGATATCTGCCGCAGTGACAAACGAATCGTTTGGTACTTTAGGTTTCATTCGACCACAACATATATACCAGCCCGGAATTTGTTCCCTTTAAGGATTTCAGTAACACTGATATCAAATATTGCATATTCTCAGGAGTTAGTTTTTGTTGACTATTTCAATTTTCACCTCAAAAATAAAAGATATGAATTTGAAAAATGAAAAAATCTTATGACATATATTTCATTCGTTTATCAATAGAAAAGTTATTTATCACAACTGATAAAATTTTTATATATCTGATTGGGTTGCTATGTCAATAGGAATTAAATCAAGAATAGAGATTTTCTATATTGAAATATTCATTATTTTCATGTAATCACTCACTTTGATAGACCCATCAAACTTCCTAAACATTCAATCAAATACATATTGTACAACAAATGTTGAATTCATCCTCAGTTATCGAATCCTTCTATGAAATCTAACGATATTTTCACTACTATCACAAAATTGAAACTAACATTTATATTCATATAAAAAAGTCAAGTGAAACATTTGGAAATCTGAAAAAAAATATTTTCAACTTCTCTAAAATACAGATCATGATATTATAAAACAACAACGAAAATTAATTGGCGCTCCGGGGCGACTTCATTGATTTTCACAAACACAAGATGAGATAGACTGTACGGAATCAGTCAATCCAGAGCGATCAGGAGTATTGATTCTGCTATTGTTTTGCTCACGAAGAGTATTCAACAAGAACCCCAAGAATTCGGAACAATCCTCTTGTTGTCCTAACGAGTATCTAGTGGACTTCAAAGACTCCAGAAAATCGGTTGGAGGGAAAGGTGATACATTCTTACGAAACTGCTGCTGCATGAACCAATGTTTGAATAAGTAGGAAACATTCTCGTTCTCGTTCATCATTAAAACCTCGTTCTTGAAATTCTTCGTCATGAACAACACTAAATCATCTGATCCAATTTTCTTCTCAAGATTTTCAGGACAACTCTCTACTGATTCGTAAGGAAGAACATGTTTCACAGAATCTGCATGAGAACCATTTCTCAAGCTGCAATTGATCCTTCCAAGTGATTAGGGGTTTCGTAGAGGGATCGATACGGCTCTTGTTTCATGAAACTGAAAGGGAACTAGAACCACGAGGACTGCAACTTATATTTGGGGGGGGGCAAGAATGGTTTAAGTCCATTGACCATACTGAAAAATGAAAAAGAAGAAGGTGGATCAATCACTTGCGAATTAACCTTGATAGGAGACTGATGATTATCCACATATCTCGGCTTGTTTCGTAGATATTTCAGTTTCGTATTGAAATAAGGGCAATGCATGATCTCATCAAAATTATGTGAAGGAGAAATAGTTCCAAGGACCGAACCAGCATTACCATGTTGAATAGCAATACTAATTATTTCTATCAAATTAGAGGTAGAACGGTGATCTTTCGTTGCTTGGCCTATTCTCCTTCCGAGTTCATGAACGAATACTGAGACTCCGGGACATAAACACCAGAAGTTTCAACCGCTACTGGATGGTACAGATAGTTGTTACCTAGGTTTTGGTATTTTTTTCGTTTCAATTATTTGCCAGACAATGCTGCGTTTCCAGCAGACTTCGAAATTTAGGCTAGACGTGAAGCCGCGACCGTGTCAACGGAAGTGAAGTCCCATACCACAGGTTACCGTATTTCCTTGGTATGAGAGACACACCATTTGGTCGTTTACCATCATCTCGACTGGTACCTAAGGGTTCCAGAATTGCAGGAACCTCCGCTGACACCATAGCTCGTTTCGATATGTCGTTCACCTGGTGATGTCGAGATATATGCCCTGCACTTCTCCTGCAGCTCAAACCATGTGTACCTTTCTCATCAACTATACTACCGCAAACACAAGTATGAGATAAACCCATCCTAAGTCCTACTGTTATTCTGCTTTACACAAAAAAATGTGGGAAGCCAAAGAAAAGAAGAAAGCAATTAGGTTCGACGGATATATGCAGATCATGTATAGGAATTTCTACCGAATATAAACTGAAAGATAAAGCCCTCCCGAAACAACAATTTTCATATGAACAACGAATTGCACGATAAACATTGCATAAAAACATTGAGATATACAGAAATCATTTTCTGAAAAACTCCTAAGTGAAGGTTGGGAATAGGTACTCCAAAATGAAGTACCAGAAGAGTTCTTATCAATTGATTATTTCGTCTACCATTGCCTCCTCTTCAACGATGTAGGTGGAGGAGGAACCATCATCTCAGATCCAGGGAAAATAGGGGGAGACATTCTTTGTTGTGGATATTGTAGGGCATACAAATTTTGCGAGACAGTCTAACGAATGCAAGCTCCCAGGTGCTAAAAAAGCTTTCTGCTAGCGATCGGCTCGATTATCTCCAAAGGGGTGCTAATGAAGCATGTCACCTACTGAGCGCACTGAGTAAGTTCAGCTCTGAACTTATATGCATATGATTGTTCCGGAGGCAGCACTAACAGATGCTGCTGCTTCAGGCTGTGCAAATGCTGCACTGTCACCTGAAGGATATCAGGTTTCTCCAACTTAGAAACAGTCTCCCCCTCATTTTGCAAATCGATAACCAAGTTCTGTGAGTTTTCTCAACTGGTACAGAAATAGGTATAGATTAAGTATATTTCAAAGGGTTTCGAATGACAATTGACAAAAAAAGAGAAATATAAAAGTAACATTTGTATTGTGTCTTTAATAGAATAACCGGTTGACTTTGGCATTGTAGACAACATTGAGTTCCAGCTAAGCTGTTAGTATCGGCAACCAACAATACGAACCGAACCCAGCGCATGCTGCAAAAATTAATATTTGGTTTCTTGGGTTATCTTCTCAATAATAAACCACAGACATTCATGATGTTCGCTATTCATGACAATTTTTAAAAGTACTGGAGAATTGAAATATGAATCCAATTCCATGGTCTAAGGTCATTGATTGATTGTATTGCTTCTTCGACCATGTTATTTAAAAGTACAAGAATATATTTCAAAAGGATTTCGATTCTTTGATTTTTCAATGTTAATGTTGATGAGAATCTCAGATATTGGTTTCAACATTACGTTTCTGTTAGTCTTAGTCGGAAATTTATTGGTTTAGTAAACTCTGAAGTAATGGAAAATATTTCAAACAATCGTTAACGAATGGAATACACAGAATAAATGAATAAACACAGTTTCCACAATAACTATTATCTTCCACTTATGTTTCTCTAGTTGTTGGTCGATGGTTCGCCCGCGTAGAATTTGGTTTTTCACATTGTTTCGTGACAGACCATTTCAAACAAATGGTCACAATACTTTTTTATTGACCCAAAACGTCAGGTTTCCAAATTTGAAACTGACGAAATTCAATACAATCTTTAAACCCCTNGCCTCTTCATCACGAATCTGGATAACATCACAATATGAAGTATTCATTTCTTTCATTCGACATACGACTCCATGTCATGAATGAGTGAAATCTACTTCTGTCATCGATGACAGTACGTAATGGCATTCATTCGCTTATTTGATTCATTCCCAGCCATAGGTGAAGTTAGGTTAGGTTAGGTCAGAAGTGACTGGGTCTATCCGAACCTCCACCGCAACCCGTAAAGGTTTCTTGTGGCTCACACCTATTCACAGTCGAACAAATAACCCCAGCTTCTCAAAAAGTATGGTTTGTGGTAAGAGTACGGTTCTGCCGAACTCTAAAAACTTGATTCAGCCCCTAGCGGGGAAAGCGCAAAGTGTGTGTTCTGCTGTTTCATCATTTTACAAACAGAGGCAACAAACACTGTCTTCCGACAGTCTGAACTCTGCATATGATGATTCAAATGAGGGTGACCTCAGCCATAGAAATCTCATTTTAATTGAAAGGGATATATTTTTAGAAGAGATTAATTTTTGGCAAAGAAAGATTTCCATTTTTTTTCAAATCCCAAAACCTTTCTTTCCCAAAAATTAATCTCTCCTAAAAATGAATCCCTTTCAATTTAAACTATATGGTGTTTCATTTAGAAAACTGGAAAAACAACTTTTGGATCTATCAAAATTCAAAAATAATTCTTTTTATTTTCAAATTGATCTTTTTCGATAAATGAATGAATTTCAGTAGCACTGATAACTAAAATTATATTTTTTTGAAGAACTGGCATTTATGAATTTTTTTATTTTGTATTCAGAAATCACTGAATTCATGACATGAAGTCGTCAAATTAAAAAATAATTCTTTTTATTTTCAATTTGATCTTTTTCGATAAATGAATGAATTTCAGTAGCACTGATAACTAAAATTATTTTTTTATTTCGTATTCAGAAATCACTGAATATAAAACGGGCGAACTAAAATTGGATATACCTGAAAAATCTCCAAATTTTTCTCATTCATTTGAACAATTTTGTAGATATATTCAATTTATGCAATGATGTTAGATAATATTGTATTTTTATCGTCAAGATTTCAATTTGAATACAATTTGATGAAAAACAATGGATCAATATTTATTAGGTTATTAGACAAACACGGTAAAGAATGGAAAGCGGAGCCATTGAATACCAAACTATTTTTTCCTCATTTGACAGAAAGACACCTAATACTAGGTATTTTCAGCCTTAACAATGTATCATTTCGATATGAAAATTTATCAAATTTTACCTTTATACTTCCATCTCCACTGAAAATTAAAAAAAAATCTCCACTTCAGTATCAGCAACGTCCAAATTACTGGAAGTTTTTGAAGATTTTCAGTTCTCATCATTTCAAAATAATTTTGTTCATTATTTTTTAGAATAATGAAAGATTTCGTAGACGAATCTAGCAACAATTATTAGCATGAATGAAAATATTTTTTGCATAATGGAACTGAACAATATCAGTGTTTGTTATTTAATTATTATCATTGTTTGTAATTTATCGAAGATCTGATCAACTACCACTACTCATATAGTTTCGTTTGAAGTCTTTTGTGTATTTTTTAGATCACAATATCCTAGAGTAGCGTTACTCTTGGATCTTGTTACTTATTATGAGAAACCTTATTGAATTCTTTTTATTTAAAATTATCAAAACACATTTGTTCAAATCAATTTCAAAAAACTAACTCTATACAAAAATACTCTATACTCACTTCACAAAATGATTATATATCCTGAAAAACTATTATTCTCATATCTGTTGATTCAGTGAGGTTTACCCATGATTTTCACTAGTTAAAGCAAACTCAATAATATTGCGATAATTTTGCAAAAGTTAAAGCAAACTCAATAATTTTGCAAAAACTAAACCAACAGAAAAATAGTTTATTATAACGTTGATAATTTCAATATATCATAATTACGAGTATCTCATCGTGTTGGTATGTCAATGAGAAATAAATCGGAAATATAAGTAAGTAGTTTATTTAAACATATATTTTCTATGAAACCAGTCACTTTGATGAACAAATGAAACTTCATAAACATTCATTTCAATACATATTACACAACAAATATTTACAATTATTTACCAGACACAGATAAATCTTGATAATATTCTTAATTTGAATTAGTCACACATTGTATAAATTAATTCAATGAGCATTTATGGAATATATAAATCTTTCCAATGATAATGTCACTCTTGTTATTACAGTAAGCTTTGAATATGACAATACATCAGATATCTGATGACATTATTAACATGCGCCAGTTTTGTAAAACTTTTTTAGCAATATTCAATTTTCAATTGTAAAACTTGCAAGTATTGTTACACAACAAAAGTTAAATTCGTCCTCAATTATTAAATTATCCGATAAAATCTAACGATATTATACTACTATCACAGGATTAAAGCTAACATTCTCATTCACTTAAAAAAATACGAAAAGTGAAACTTAAAAAATATCTTTGAAACATGGAAGACCTGAAAAAATCCTAACCTAAGTAAAGCTCGAGAAAATTACAAATAATCACCAGAAGAGTTCTTATCACTTGAGTCTTTCTTCTACCACGGCCGCCACATCGATGGGGGTGAAGGAAGAACCATCATCTCAGACCCAGGGGAAATGGGGGGAGATAAACTTTGTTGTGGATATTGCTGGGCAGAAATATTCTGCGAGACACAGTCTAGCTGACGAACGCAAGCTCCCAGGTGCTGAAGAAGCTTTCTGCCAGCGTTCGGCTCGATGACCTCCGAAGGGGTGCTGATGAAATGTGTCACCTCCTGAGCGCACTGAGTAAATCCAGCTCTGAACCGATCAGCATACGATTGTTCCGGTGGTAGCACTAGCTGATGCTGCCGCTTCAGACTGTGCAAATGCCGCACTGTCAACTCCAAAATATCGGCCTTCTCCAACTTAGAAACATTCTCTCCTTCATTCTGCAAAGCTGTCACCATAAGTTCTTTGAGTTCGTCGAGGCAACGATTTATTCTGGCTCTTCTTTTTCTCTCCAACATCGGCTTCATGACTTTTCTGTACTGGTACGTCCTAGAAATCGGCTCCTCACTGTATTCACTGGTCACCATGTAAGGTGTCGGAGCCATTTTTCGCACCACGTTAGTTTAACACTCTGTATACTGACAGCTCTAGTTACGCGACTGAGACGCACTTAAGAATGGAGTTCTGTTAAGTCCTTTTAGTTTTATACGGATCTTCCTTGTTAGAGTATGAGAGTGGGGCAGGTTGTATTGAATGAATCGGTGCCTGACGCACAGGGACGGCTTCTATAGCGTGGATAGATTTCTCGAACAATTTACAGTTAGACAGCCTAATAAAAATTTTACCCACGAATACGTAGTGTTTATGAATGCAAATATAATTAGAATCTCACAAGAATGGTTTTTGCAAATTACAACTAAATATTGTAGAAAAAAATACACGAAGGGAACAGACAAAGGAATGGAAGGTCGCAGTTATGTTTGTTTCCCAGTTTAACTGATATTTTGACAATGGAGGTGAAAAATGAACAGGAAACTATATGAATAAAGTGTGTAGATGAAAACATAACTAATACAATTTAGCTGATCACCCAACAAAATTATTTTTGCTACTGTAAGTAAGTAAGATTTTTTCAGCAATATTCAATTTTCAATTGTAAAACTTGCAAGTATTGTCCATTTTTTTAGTATTTCATTTTAGCGTCCTGACGAAGTCTCTATCCAGAGACGTTCATTATCAAACTTTGGTCTCTTTCTATTCCAGGAGAACATATCTCTAATATATGAAACGTAGACAAAACGGTTCATCAGAATCTAATGTTAATAGAGATTTTCAAACCATTTTCATGCTATGGTTGAGATTTTTCTAGGTGCATGAAGGATATCATATGGAGAATGTTATCAAAAGAAATAAGACTATCTGGATTTCACGATTGGAATGAATTTTTTCTGTTCGTCAACATTTCTTATACATATGTTACAGTCTTAGTAGTACTCTTTCCGAGGCAGGTTTCACGCACCATCTTGACGTTATCATGAGATGAGTATAGTACATCCCCTTGGCGTCATCGGGAGATCAACTATGCTGAAGTTTTTTTATTGGAAAATAGTTACTGATTGTTGAAGATTATTTCGAAGTTGATACTCGCAATCATTGTAGAAAGATTGAGCACGAGCCTTGCCTTGATTTCTTCCCATTCAACGTGACTTTGGAAAGTTGAATAAAATTGAAATAAATATAGCTCCTATGTATATAGTAGATGCACATTCTCATTAGTAGTTGACTGATAGGAAACTGATCATCAGAAGTTGAGTAGAGAATGACCACATAGAATCAAATTTACTGAATCTGACAAATAGGGAATATATAATTAGAACACTGAAAGAGTCTATCAGGTTGTTTACAGCAACATAGTAAAATTGATTGGAGTAGAAATGAAAGTGAAAGACAAAACCAAATAGTAATCAGAATTATTCAAATGATGTTGTTTTTAGCAATCGACTGAAACTCTTCAGAGCTAGGATATCGGCTAACTGATAATGAAAAATAATCACAGCTATATCATCACCACTATGACTGTTACTAAATGTTATAAAATAACGTTTTTCCGTTGTGTCTGTTTGTCTATCTGAACAGGACAAAGTCGAAAAGTATCGATCGATTTTCAACAATGTGATTCAAAAGGAATGATTATGTGAATAATAGTAATGTTTTGTGAGAATTGTCGAAATATGACGATGTAATCCGTGAGAAGTCATGGCGGGGAGGTATCATAAAACGTAGCCTAATCCTTTCGAGATATAACAACATATTGTTCCCTTTATAAGTCTACTATCAACGATGCTATAACCCATTTTGATATTTAAAATAATGGTTAAATATAAAGCGTTTTTCACATAATATATAATCCATATAATCCAACGCCCTTCGTGGTATTAGCTAGGAGAATAGTTGTTTTCTGACAGGTGACAGTCCATTAACCTACAGTGTAGGGAGTTGAGACTGGCCTGAATGAATTGTTCCTTTAGATGATTTGAAATATAAAGTGATAATTGAAAAATTAATATCTTAGGAAGTGAGAGTACAGAGTACAATCTAATGACAATATGAAACACAAGTTTGTGTTGTTTTCATAAACCTATTTTACTCAAGTGACATTATTGCCAACATAAATACATTGCAAGTCTTCGGGTGAATTTTTTTTTGAGAATTCATAATAATGGGTCGTCAGATCAGCTTTGAATTTATCCTGACACAACGTGAAAACAACTTCAAAATAAGGTTGTTTTTTAAAAAGAAACAATTTTTCATTTCATTTCAGGTATCTCACAAATTGAACTTCATAATAAATATTTCTCGACCGACATTTAAAGACGTCCAATTTCGATTGGAATATCATAGCACACATCAGTTTTGTCGAGAACCGGTCCTGGAAGGCGGTATAGTTTGAATTTCTCTCTCTTTGTGCAACGTAGAAGAATGGCGTTTTTGTGAAGGGTGCATTATTATGCGTCGATACGGGTGCTGAGCGTGTGACTCGACTATGGGAATTTCAGTTTTTTTAATTGTTAGGGGAACCATAATGGGGATGGGTGAAAACTTGAGAAGCGTGTTTAATTTTTTTACGTAGTCGGGTGAACATAGCGATACATTTTTTCAAGTTTAGGGTTTGCTCTCGATCTGAATATAGAACTGTTTTTGTACTTGGTTTTTATAATGGGTTCCATAACGGAACACTCAGTCCATTGAGCGTTTCATTATAAAATGTGGTTTTTCTTTCAAACACGGATGAACGAACATTTTTGTGGTAATTGTTATAATGACTATATTTTTCCACCTGAAATTTCAATGTAGGCACATTTATCTCCGGCAAATTTGATATAAATTCTTGAAACTAGACAAAAATAGCTCATTCGAGAAAAAAAAACATTGATTTACATAAAAATTACAAAAAACAATAAATTGATGAATGAATGGAAATATTAATACTGTTTCTTACTTTACGGAATTTTATTGTGAATTGTGGATTTTTCAATGAATTGAAATATCTTCAAATTCTAACAGATCTATCCTCCATGTCATGTTATATAAACACTTGGAAAATTTTGTGTTTTTGGACATGAAATGAATTTTGTTGAAATTCAATAGCAATTTGATTCATTTCGAGAAATTGTTCATTATTATGTGTGATATACCACTCATCAAGTACCTAATTGATATATTTATGAATAAGTGTTTGAAAAAGTCCATTATAATTTTTTTTTTCTTTTAACCAATTGTCACCCCCATATGAATAACATATAGCATGCACCATACGGAAAACTTATTTATTGAGGGTTTTTCGACAAAAAGTTATTTCTCATAAAAGTTTGTGCATCTCCTAAAACTAAACATGCACCAACAAAATACAGTAAATCACATGTAATATACGAGGAGCCTTCAAATATTTGATTTTGAGACAATAGTAAACTACTCTTATTTTGAAAAATTTCGGGAAAGAAAAAATTGCTGAAACGATAAATAGGCAGCATCCTGTATACGACGGTTTATTTCAGAAGCCTGCAATATTACAAATTACACAACTATGGTGATAACAATGGTCAAGTTTTTTGAAGAGTAAAATAATTTTCAAATTTTTTGGTGCATCGTTATTTTTATTTTTTGTTAACACCGAAAATTACTCAAAGTTATACAGTATTGTAACAAGAACTCAATATTCAATACTATCAAATTACAAAACATCAATTTAAAATAGGTATTTTGGAACAAACTCATTGATTTTCTAAAGATTATATTGAAGAATTATTTTAGACAAGAAAATCTACAGAAAATCAATGAATTTGTTCGGAACTACCTATTTTATTTTGATGTTTTGTGATTTGATATTATTGAATATCAAGTTCTTGTTATATAATACAGTATAATCCTGAGTAATTTTTGGGTGTTCGCTTGAATGGCCACGACTTCAAATCTTAATGTAGTTTTTAATGCTGAACAACTTTTTCAAATAACATTTCCGAGATTTTTCAAAATAAGAGTACTTTACTCTTGTCTGAAAATCAAATATTTGCAGTCTCCTCGTATATTACGTGTGTTTTACTGTAGTTTGTCGACACTTTGAAATGCAAATATTCAGAAATGATTTAATTTCCGGTGTGCGTAGGAGGTTGCAAAGTTACAAATAAACTCAAACTGATATTTTGTTCAAATGCAAGCAGGAGTAATAAGTTTTGTAATTACTTACCTAGTCATGAAAAATCGTCTGAAAAAGTATTAAGAAACTTCATAGAAGAAAAGTTGTTTAGAATTAGTCAAACTCTGTACCAATGAACCATATTTGGTTCATTGAAAATAAGTCCGGCGGTAGAACCTAAATTCAAATTTTTGACAAATCAGTACAGTAACGCCGTATTTAGCTGGACTATATGCTTTGTCCAATATACATTCAAATACAGTTTTTAGTTTTGGGGTTCAGCTAGTAAAAAAGTGTTTTTACGCAAAATAATAACTATGTATATAACAGGAGTCTCATCAAGGTAAAGTTACAAAAACTCTTTGAAAATTGTAAATTAAATATAAAACCGATCCTAGGGTTTTATTTTTGAATTGTGTGTATTCATACTTATTTAAAAATAAAAATGCTTACCTCATAAAGAAGACTGACACATATGTTTCCCATTGAACAAACCTACCAAAAGATAATGAAAATTGTAAAAAAATTGAATATTCTAAATTTAAAATCGTTTTCATAAACAAATATTTTTCAAGTCTATTCCATTTTTATGAAAACAATGTTTTCACCCTGTACTATGTCGTAGCCTTTATTATTATCATTCTTCTCGACTCCAATAGATGTAGTGGTTTCAGCCATATGAGGTCTGTTAAAAAATTAGGTAAATGTTCAAATTTCGCGTGCTACATACATTCGATTAGCGATTTTTTCATTTTTTTATTGTTGGTAGACTCGTTTCGAATATATATTCATATTTTCAGCTGTATGGCATGTTTAGTTTGTTGGTGAGAGACATAAAAGTTAGAAGTGTTTTACGTGTTCGGCGATTTTATGCTGTCGAAAAAAATGAATCAAAGAATTTCCATAAAATTTTGTGTTAAAAATATAATTTAGTTTTCAAAAACGATTGAAATGTTGACAGAAGCATATGATAATTGTA